AGGAAAAGTTCCCGAAATGGGACTAAAAACGTTTCAAAATTCCAAAATAGAACTATCATGTTTTTATTCCCAAAATAGGACTAATTACTGCCAAATTTTGAAAATACTGCCATGTTTGAAGTATGGTACTGCCAAAACATGACATTAATTAGTCCTATTTTGTGAATAAAAACATGGAAGTCCTATTTTGGAATTTTCAAACCTTTTTCGTCCCATTTTGGGTAATATCTCTTTTTTAAATAGTACAAAAGTCAGAAGGTAGAAACTTATGTCTGTCAAATAAAGTGAGTGATACCTTTCCTTAAATAAAAGAGTAATGTATTTGTTCTAAATAGAGAATCCACCACTATTTGGGGAAGTTTTTGAAGTGTGGTAGTACAAAATATATGCTATATTGCGAATAAGAACATTTTTTGGTCCTACATTTGAAGTTAAACCATATGGAGTATTATATTTTAATTTCCTATTTAAGGTAATTTCTTTGTTTCACAAATCTAGCAGCTAGGTTTATAGGGAAATAGATAACATACTCCGTAACATAAAACAAGTCAATGCATGAGAGCAGCTACGTTTATAGGGAAATATATAGCTAGGTTTATAGGGAAATACTCCGTATTTAGCATAACATAAAACAAGTCAATGCATCAATTTCAAGATCCTAAGCAAAACCTACGTGATTAAACATAACCTGAATTAATGACACAGATCGTTGCTAGCCTTATGATCAATATAATACTCCCTCCCTAACTTTAAAATCTTCCCACTTTCCTTTTTCGTCTGTAACAAAAAAATCTTCTCATTTCCAAATCTTCCCATCATACCCTCAATAATTCTGAAAATAATACACTATTACAACTACTTTTTTTGGATTTATCCTACATTCCATCACCTTATTCCACTATTTTCCTATCATACCCTCAATAATTCATATTCTCTTTCACTATTCTTAATCTACCTACTTTTCAAATGGGAAGATTTTAAAGTTACGGTGGGAGTATACCACGGGTGCTTCTGAAAATGAAACACTTTAAATTTTATGCACACTTACACCGAGTAGAAGGTTCTCCAAAATGAAGCTGATTGAATCGCTCACTTGAAACAACTGTCATGGAGTACACAAAATTCCCAATTAGCCGAAGTGATTAATGATTTCTATAACATTACATTACACAAACCATTACTCATTTACATTAAGTAGCTCAAGGGAAGATTAGGAAAGCTTATTACCAGGTGATAAAGGCCTCCTACGGCCAAACACTTTGAGATGTTGACCTGATATGAACCGGTCAACGGACAAACCCTTAAGTGGGCCCTCCTCAAAGCACTCCATCGTTGATGCAACCATGCAGTCATCAAAGAAAGCCAGTTCATCTGCGTTCAAGAAGCTCGACCCAGGAATAAGCTTAACCCTACCCCTATGATGCTCCCCTTCTTCAGCCCATATACTCACACTCTCCTCCCACACCATTCTTATCTTCCCTATCCTTCTCACACTACTACTTGGCTGAAAAGACGATTCTAACCCTAACAGTGGATAATGAGTCGGCGGCGGGGGTAGAGGCTTCGGGATAATGAAGGAGTCCCCGCCCGGACCGCCGGAAACTATGGCGAGTGCGCCGGAGACTCTGGTCAACGGATTTGACCTCATTCTGGTGCCCATAAACTGGGATAACTCCTCAAACACTTCTTCATCGAAGGAAGCTGGCAATCTGTGGATCTTTCTCTCGTATGGAGATAAACGAAAGTAACTCTTCCCCATATTCTCGCTATCTCCTCCCCTCTCCCATTCATAGACCTTCCTGAACTCACCCAACATGTTATCCCACTTCGTCCCGGCGGTCTTCGCGTCCCGGTTCACGCCGTGCCGGTTCAAGAACTCCGCCACCTCCCGGTCCTTATCGGCGCGTGTCTTTCCACGCCCTAGTGGAGCGTCGGCGCCGGTTTCCTCGGCGGAGTAGCCTTGGTACTGAACCCTCCAAGCCCTAGCCAGCCACAGCATCTCGTTAGGTTTCCATACCGGGCTGACGTATTTGCCCTTCCGGAACTGGTGGTGCTGCGGGAAATGCTCCGCCTCCGACGGGCGGGGAGAGGGAGTGGGCGATGACGTGGCGGTGTTGGAGGATGAAGCTTGTGGGTTCCCGGAAGGAGACGGAGGGGTTGACTCCGGCTTTGTGGAGTTAACCGTTGACTGTATCGGCTTCCATTGACTGGCGGCGGCTACTGAGTATCTAGGGCGTTTAGGCTTGACGGTTTCAATGACGGCTGGGATGTAGAGAGTAGGAGGCGGCGGAGGGGGGACGTAGTGAGTGGGTACGCCGGAAACCGCCGCATGCGGCGTACCTGGATCTTGATGATGATCAGGGTCATCAATAGAAGTGGATAGAAGGGTTTTCTTGTTGGGTTCTCCTTTATGGTCAACCATTATGAGGCTTGACTTTATTTTTTATTTTTTAGTCCGTATATATATCTATGAATCCCTAGAGAAAGGAAAGCTAAGGTATCTATAAAGGGTAAAGTGGGCGGAGAAGGAGTAAAACGCCCGACAATAATGCTCGGTGGAAGGGAGAATTGAAAAAGACGGGTCGTTGATAGATTTGCAGACAGTAGACAACGTTTTTTGCTCAAAATGAAAATTTTGATGTATGTTCGGTGTGTAAAGAGTGATAGTGAAGGGTGTGTGGTATTGATTACAAAGAAGTTATGATTGTACTGGAAAAACAGAAAATTTCGGCGAAAGATGTCCCATAACTGTCATTCCCTAATAAAAATAGGGTGACTTTTTTAAACACTAATCTGTAATCACAGATATAATTAAGATGGCATAGTTTTTTTTACAGCAATTAAGATGGCATAGTTAAATTTGTTTATTTTGGCATTGCAATGTCTGACTTTTTTATTCATAATTATTCACATACTAGAGTAAAGATTCAATTAATAAACTCAACTTCATTTTTTTTACGGAAAAAACTTAATTCATTTCATTATTAATAACGTTGAGAATACAATAAGGAATATGCTTAAAAACAACGCTGGAAGCAAAGGTGATAGATGACCGAGCTAACGCATGAGCACTACCATTAGTTTTTTTTAGTAAATACATGCAACATCAAAGTCGCTATGACTATCAAGAATGGCTCTACAGTCCTTGATAAAAGCTCCATAATCTGTTTTAGCCACCTTGTTAGAAAGCACATCCTCCACAACTTGTTTCGAATCCATTTCAAAGATAACCTCCTCATAGCTGAAATTCGTCATCCAACTCATAGCTTGTCTTAGTCCCCATGCTTCAGCCTCTGATGGAGATAAAGCAGCCCGGCCTACACCATTCTGTCCTAGCTATTCCAAAATGTCCCCGACAGTCCCTCAAACTCAACTTCATTTTAGATACTCGTATTTATGTTATACGTATTTGGTATAGATGGAAAGAATATTAAAGTCTTAAAATTCTATAATAAGTTAATAACTATTAACTTCCAATATTGCATTGTGTATGACTATTTACACAAGTCATATTTACTACTACCTCCGTCCCAAATTGATTTGCAAATTTGACTTTTCTTGGTCAAACAGTTTCGTTTTGTTCACTTAATTAGGATGTCAATTTTTAATTATATTCTAATTTGGAGTTTACAACTTTGAAGAGATTTTAATGTAATGTAGTTTTTTTTTGCAGATTTTAATGTAGTTTATGAATATGTAAATTTTAATTATTAAAAATTGAATTAAATAGCCATACGGAGCATTGACTTTTATTATTGGTTGACCAAAAAATGTTGACTTTGCAAAACAAATTGGGACGGAGGGAGTACTACGTATATCATACATAGTATTTGTGTAGTATTGCAACTTAATTTATCATTTAAATCTTAACTCCAACAATAAATTCAACTAAGAATTAGAAGTAATATTCAATCTAGAATAAAGTTGAAAATCACGAGTTTGTCTATTATTTTCAACAATGTGATATAACATTATAATATAGTTTTCATTAGTTGTGTTGCACTATTTGTGTATTTGCACAATTAACTTAAAGTTAAAGATAAAAATGTAAGCTTAATTATTGAATCTATCCTAGCTTTTAGTATACTCTTTCTTTTATTCGCTTATGCATGTTTCATATGCAAGTTCCACTTTTATTCGCTTATGCATGTTTCATATGCAAGTTCCACTAAGACGATAATTACCAATTGTAAAAAATTCCAAAATTTTTAGCATTGGATGGTAGTGTACCAAACCGTTTGGTACCCTTTCAAAATGGCATGGTACGTACCGAATGGTTTTAATCTTAGAATCGAACTGTACTGAACTGTTAAAAACTTACCAGTACGAGTTTTGCTAATTTATCGTACCATTTTAGACCGCGTTCATCCCTTTGATTTACCACCACCAAATCAAATATAACTTCCCATATACTTCGTATACTGGTGGTACATACTAGATACTTGAAGAAGAGGCATATCCTAGCTCCACTTTTGTAGAAGGTCATCACTTTGAAGGAGGAGGAGGAGGAGGCCGGAGGCTGGAGGACAAGGAGGAGGACGAGGAGGAGGAGGTTGAGGAGAGAAAACTGTAATGGAGAAAAAAATAAAAAATAATATGTGGGACCGTTTAGAGAAGATTTGTGAAATGTGAGATTTATGGTTTAATGTTTTGGAAAGAAAAGAAAATAACCTAGAATAGCATGTCATTAACTGGTCAGAGACCGATGAACGGATATGATATATGCAAGTGTGATTATTCCTAGATTAAAGTTAGGTGTGATTGTTGGAAAATATTCCATTTAAGTGTCATTGGACCATTTATATAATTTAATATAAATTGGGGACATTTATGTCTTACCATTAAGTTTGCCATATGACAGATTTGGTCCATGTATTTATGTACAGTTAACATGTGATGGGTATGTTTTAACATTAAATAATACATAAGGGGCCAATGGTGTTTCTCTTTGATACAAGATATAAGGCTCGTTCGTTCCTCTTATGACTAAAACGAAAGAATGCGTTTCTTCCCAAAGGTCTCAATAACACCTATATTAAGAGACCCAAGGGAGATCGTTCAATCCATCGAAATCCGCTTGTATCCTTAGAGAATCTATGATCAATGGCTTCATCATCTTCTACAACACAATCAAAGCATGGTTTCTCCCCAACCGGTTAGTGTTCTTATTGTTTGATTATATGAATTTTATCATGTTTTAGTGAGATTAGATCCTTAATTGGGACTGAATTTCTCTTCGTCTGGTATCCGAGCACGTTAATTCTCGCTGACGTTGATAAAATTTGAAGTTTTCAATATGCCTAAATGATTTATTGGTTTTCGCCGATTATACCTTTTCATTATATGATAATACCGGCGCACTAATATATCCGGTATTTGATATTTGAACTGATTGTTCTAAATGTAATTCCTTGTTATCTGTCGATGCCTTTAAAGAGTAAGTAATTCTGATGTTTTTTATATATACGAAGTGCCGACACATGATTGATGCTTATGCTTGCTTTAAAACTGTTCTGAAAAACTAAAACTCAGTTTGATGTTAACGTGAAAATCGTATGACTTTATTCTTTTAAAATTCCTGTTTATTTTGGTCCCTGCATCTCGGATCAATTTGTGTGATCTATTTATTAAAATAGAACTAAGTTGGTTTGTTTTTGACAATTTCAAACACATTGGTTTTGTGTTGAATCTGCCAGTTTTCCGAGAATAAACCATATTGTTCTAGATGCAAAGTAACTCACTTGAAGTGTTTATATACAATCTGCAATACTTTCATAATGTATAATATAATCCTAAGTGCAAAAACAGTCTGTTAAGATGCTTATAATAAAATGGCTGTTTTATTCTGGAACTTTGCTAATTTGAAACGATTGAGTTGTCTGTTGCTAATTTGCCAATTTTGACAATAAATAGATTTATATGATCTGAAACTTTGTTATATTTTATGGTTGTCGGACTAATACTGCAGCAGATTCAAATTTGATTCCATATTTAAAGTTGTAGTGTGGATTATTGATTAATGATCTTAGTGTCAAATTCAATGATCGGCCCAACGGAAGATTATTGGTTTTGATTATCTTAAACAATTATATGAGTTTTCAAATAACAAACCCAAAGGTGTGTTATTTGATAATTTATGTAATGAAATTTAAGCATAAATGAATGTGTTATATTTCTGCCCAAAGGTGATATATGACATATTTGCAGCCTAATTTTAATTTTAATATCATAATGTTTGATAGTTAGCATTAGCCAACGCAATGTTAGTTATTAAACATGATATGAATTTTCCTATTATTTGGTGTTGATAATAGGCTTATTTACTAATAATTGACATGCCTTATTGTATTCCCTTATATATTATAAATAGCTTCTATTATTGTCTCTCTTAAAACTTTTATTTCAGCATCTACTTTTACCCAGTACAATTATGGGATAGAACCTCTAAATGGTACAAACTTTTCAACATGGAGAGAATCTATAAAACTCTCACTTGGCATGATTGTTGGTCCCGATTGATGTGGTAATCAGTCTAGAGGGGGGGGGGGGTGAATAGACTGATTGGTTTTTCAAATTTTCTCCAAGTCCAAAATGACTTATCAGAGAATGTCTGATTCTGGTGACAGAGAAAGGCTGGTTCTGATAACAGAACTGGCCTTGGCAGCGGATTCTGATATGTCCGGGTAGCCTCAGAAACACTAAGGCAAATGCCTTTCTGATAACTCTGAAAACAAGATCTGCTGAGCACAGAATCCAAATCTTAGAGTTACCAGTTAATATCCTAAGTGCAGAAATATAAATTGCAGTAAAGTAAATGACACCGGATATTTTTATAGTGGTTCAAGGAACAACGCGTTCCTCTAGTCCACTGTTCCACTAGCTTTGAAGTAGATCGGTTACAAAGCTAAATCCTAGCACTTAAGAAGCACTCCTCGTCTTCTTCAAGTCTAGATGCCACCCAGGATGTAATTCCACGCCCTGATGGCTGGTCCTTTCACTCAGCTTCCCGGAAGTATCACCACTTCACTACTGCAGTTACTTGGACGCCCTTCTTTGCAGAAGATCCTTTGAAAAACAGAGTTTTTCCTCCAACTTGCTTCGTTACAAATGATGTTTGATGAAGTTCTTGAAGAGTTGAAGAACAGGATGAACTTTGCTCGTTGTTGGGGATGAAAGATTTGGAGTTTGAATCTTCCCAACGTAGGACTTTTCTTGTAGGGTGTTATGTAGGTTGAATCTCAAGAAGTATGTTCGGAAATGGATCAAGAGTTCTTGGCAAAGTTGTTTTTGTTCTTCGGTGTGTAGCTTATATACTGAGGTTGTCTGCCCGTTGGAGGAGGAGACAACTGCATTAAATGTGCGTACAGTTGACTTGACCGCCGTTTTTGGAAGGTTTCTATTTTTATAATATATCTTCCCGGATTCTTTTGTCAATCATTTGCAATCAATCCTTCAGCGTATCAGGCTCATTTAATGTGCATTAAATGCTTTCCTTTCATGCACAGTCTTCTAGCCGTTAGATGATTTTACCCGTTGGATTCATAGCTGTTGGATGTTGCTTAAAATCTTCTAAGTGTTAGTCGGGCTCTGATCAGGCTCTTCTGATGTGTTGGATTCTGATGGCTTCCTGAGTTCTGATGGCTTTCTGATCTCTGACTGAACTCTAATTCTGACTCTGATAGGTCCGCTGATGAGTACCTCTGATCTGTAACTCTCATCGGTTATCAGATGTCCAAGTTTATCAGCAATTCTCAGGGTGCAACTCTGATGGACTTCTGGTAAGAGAACTCTGATGGAGCAGTTCTCATAGAGCAAGTCTGGTTGAGCAGTTCTGATGCACTTCTGATCTGATCCAAAGCAGAGCAACTCTGATCGTCGACTACACTAATATTTACAAATGAAAATTCTAATACATAAAGTCTAATTGGGGGTACTCTAACTTTCTAATCCTATAGCATCATCAAAATCTAATTACATTTATTCCTTACAATGATGGACCTCGACCAAGCACTGAGAATGGATCCACCAGGTGCTCCTAATGATGAAAGCACTGTGGAACAGAAGCGTTCTTAAGAACAGTGGGAGAGGTCCAACCGAATGTGCCTCATGGTGATTAAGAATTCCATATCTGTAGCCATTCGTGGAGCCATTCCTGACTCTGAAAATGCGAAGACCTACCTAGAATGTGTGGAAGAACAATTTAAGGGCACTTCTAAAGCCCATGCCAGTACCCTAATTCTCAAAATGTTGACGAGTAAGTATGATGGAGTAAGTGGTATTCGTGAGCACATCATGAAAATGTTTGATATGTCTAACAAGCTCAAAAGTATGGACATGGAGATCAGTGAAGGTTTCCTCGTTCATTTCATAATGACTTCTCTACCTGCGTCTTATGGTCCATTCAAGATCAATTACAACACGCAGAAAGAGAAGTGGACAATGAGCGAGTTGATTGCTATGTGTGTTCAAGAAGTAGAGCGCCTTAAAGCTGAAAGACCAGATGTTGCTCATCTCACCACCACAAACTCAAAGAAAAAGAAAGGCAACCGTCAAGGAGGAGGAAAGGTAACATTTCTAAGGTCCCAAAGATGGGTGCAAGCGTGAACTCTGGTCCCTACTGTAAGTTTTGCCGTTTCAAAGGGCATTACCAGATGGAGTGTCCTAAGTTTAAGGCATGGTTGACTAAGAAAGGTAACTTAACCACTTATGTTATTTATGAGTCATTGAACACATCAGTTCCCCTTAATACTTGGTGGATTGACTCTGGTTCAATGGTTCATGTTTCAAACACACTGCAGGGATTCCATTCAATCCGGACATTGGGAAGAAAGCAAAGAGTGATTAAGGTGGGCAACGGAGAAGAATTAGAAGTGGAGGCCATTGGAACTATCTCATTAATTTTAGAGAATGGCTTCATTCTTCATCTTCGTGATGCTCTTTATGTACCTAATATTACTCGTAATTTAGTGTCTGTATCGAAACAAAGTGCTGATGGTTTTACATTTAATTTCGTATACAATAAAGTGACAATAAGCTTGAACTCAAATGTAATAGGATTTGGTAGCATGGAGGGAAACCTCTATAAGTTATGCTTAGACACTAATTTTATGGAATCCCCATTGTCATTTAATATAACTAAAAATCCTTGCAAGACAAAGAGAGAATTGGAATCGTCGTCCAATTTGTGGCATCAAAGGTTGGGTCACATATCACGAGATCGAATGATAAGACTAGTGAAAGAAGGCATTCTTCCAAATCTTGACTTCTCAGATTATGACAAATGTGTGAAGTGTTTGAAAGGGAAATTATCTAAGAAAACTAAGAAAGGCACCACGCGAAGCACCGGTTTGTTAGAATTAATACACACTGATATTTGTGGGCCTTTTCCCGATTCCATTAGTGGTCATAACTCCTTTATTACTTTCATAGATGATTACTCACGCTATATGTACCTATATTTGATTAAGGAAAAATCTGAATCACTAGATATGTTCAAGGCTTATAAAGCCGAAGTTGAAAATCAACTTGATCGAAAGATCAAAGTAGTGAGATCAGATCGGGGTGGAGAGTTCTATGGTCGACACACTGATATTGGTCAAGCTCCCGACTCTTTCCATGAATTTTGTAAAGATCACGGGATCATCAACCAATATACCATGCCTGGCACCCCTCAACAAAATGGGGTTGCCGAAAGGCAAAATAGGACCTTTATGGATATGGTCCGAAGTATGTTGGCTAACTCAAATCTTCCCCAATTTTTGTGGACCGAGGCCCTTAAAACAGCAACCCACATATTGAATAGAGTACCATCTAAATCTGTTCCTAAAACTCCATATGAGTTATGGACGGGAAGGAAACCTAGTCTACTGTACCTAAAAGTGTGGGGTTATCCGGCTGAAGCAAAAGTGTATAATCCTCAATTGAAGAAACTTGACATGAGAACCATTAGTTGTTCCTTCATTGGCTATCCCGAAAGATCTAAGGGATATAGCTTCTATTGCCCATCTCACACTACCCGAATTGTCGAGACTCAACATGCTGAATTCCTTGAGAATACTAACATTAGTGGGAGTAGTGATGGTTCAAACACTAATGATGAACTTCAAGAGGGTACTGGAATGAATCCACTTATTATATTGCCCATTCCACCTAACTCACAACTTGAAGATCATAGTGAGAGTCATATGCCTCATAATAATGATGCAACAAGTCAAGAGGCGAATGAAACTCCAATAAATGTTGAACCAACTCCCCCTGTTTCTAATGAAATTCCAGAAAATCAGCAATCCCTAAGGAGATCTCAAAGGGTGAGATGCCCCACAAATTTTGACGAATATTTGATATATTTAAATGAAGAAGCCGACTTTGATTTAGGGAAAGTCGTTGACCCTATATCTTTCCTTGATGCCATTAATTGTGACCAATCGATTCATTGGAAAGAAGCTATGAATGAAGAACTTCTTTCCATGGAGAAGAACAATGTTTGGGAACTTGTTGAATTACCAAAGGGTCATAAGCCCGTTGGAAGCAAGTGGGTCTTTAAAACTAAATTAGATCCAAATGGAAACATTGAAAGATACAAAGCAAGATTGGTTGCTAAGGGCTACACTCAAAGGGAAGGTGTAGATTATCAAGAGACCTTTTCACCTGTCTCTCGAAAGGACTCCCTAAGGGTCGTTATGGCTTTAGTAGCTCACTTTGATCTTGAGCTACATCAAATGGATGTCAAAACAGCCTTCTTAAATGGAGATTTACACGAAGATGTTTATATGATACAACCAGAAGGTTATGTTTCTAAGAGTCAAGAACATCTAGTGTGTAAACTCTAGAAGTCTATTTATGGGCTCAAGCAAACGTCTCGACAATGGTACCTCAAATTTGATGAAGTCATGAAATCAAATGGCTTCATTAAAAACAAAGTAGATCAATGCACTTATCTCAAAATGAGTGGGAGCAAATTCATCATACTTGTGTTATATGTTGATGACATCTTATTAGCAAGTAGTGATCTGGATTTATTGCATGAAACAAAATGCTTATTATTTGGCCATTTTGACATGAAAGATTTAGGTGAAGCTTCTTGACATTTATGTTATTTCTATGTTTATATTTGTGCTTTTGATTAGTTTTGAGTGATTGTTACTCTAGAAATTACACACTTTTGGTGTAATAGTTTAGTTTGTAAAATGTTTTTAAATTGTTTAGATTAGGTTTGTTCTGAGCTCAAACAGGTCCAAGATCACTCTAGGGACCATTGGTGAACATCACAAGTGGAAGGAAGGTGCAAAAATTCCAAAACAAAATGAAGATCTTGAATTTTGGTGTTATACCCGGTCGAGTATGCTCCATACTCGATCGGGTAAGTTGCTGAAAAGTCAAATCAAATCAACCCGGGAACAAGGCAACATGCAGGAGGATTTTTTAACTCGATCGCGTATCCATACCCGATCGGGTGGCCGACATACCCGATCAGGTATGACCCCAGATTTTCAGTTTCGAGGAAATAACCCTTACCCGATCGGTTGAGCTGAAAACCCGATCGGGTACACGACCCTGCAGGCCTAAAAAGCCTATAAATACACCACATTTCCTCCACAATAAAGGACCAATTCACATATACTCTTTAGCTCAGTTTAGACAAGTTCTTTCTTTATATTTTTCATCATGTTTAGTCTCCAAATGAGGAGCTAAACTCTTCCATCTTGGTTTTGCTACTTTGAAGCTTAATGAATTTGTAAGTCGTGAGTTATTCTCTTTAATCTTCTTCCTTGAATATTAATTCTTCCTTTAAATACTATTTCTATATCAATGTTGGGGAGTGTTACTAAGATGACAATTAGTTAACATCTTGACATTAGTTATAGTAATAATTATTTCTTCCTCTACGTTAATATTGGGGAGTGTTACTAAGATGACAATTAGTTAACATCTTGATATTAACTATAGTAGGATTCATCTTCTTTAATATTCTTTCTTGAGTATTAATTAATTCCTATTCATATTTCATATTAATATTTTGAACATTACTTAAAGGATCAACTAGTTATGTTTCATATATTAATTAATACTAGAATCGGTCGATTAATATGCTTGTTATTAATTCGGTTCTTTCATGGTAGTAAACTTGGATTATTAATGCATGCATCTCATGGTTAATAATCTAAGGGGAATTAATTATATTGATTAAACCAATAAACCGCTTGTGTTGAGGTTATCAATCTCAATCGTTTTCATCTTAAGTTTATTGCTACTATCAAGTTAATATACGGCGCTTGTTCTATATTGACTCGATAGTAAGTTTTATTAATGAACGCTTCTCGTTATTAATAACTACCCTCGATGAACTGGATATACTCCTCGATTGAGTATTCGAGAGGAAGATAGTTAAAGATATAACCGGGATCGACGAACATTTCATTAAGTGGATAAAAGCAAAGCCAAGTCTTCTTCTCATTAATTAAACCACATAACTCGTTCATCTTCGTGTTCAATTTTAATTAAATCATTCAATCAACCCCCCCCCCCCCCTTTATTTATTAGTTTATAAAAAGAGAAGTATTCATTTCCCTGCGGATACGAACCTTACTTCAATATACTACGTATATTTGTTGTATTGTATTTATTTTGATTGCACACTACGACAAAGTGCACGTCAAATTTGGCGCCGTTGCCGGGGAAAGACAATTATTTTTCTTTTTATTTCAAGAAAAATCAAAAAAAATATAATTAACCAAAAATATAAAGAGTTGTTATTTTTTTTCTATTTCTGAGCTTTGTGAAGTATATGGTCCGATATCGTTCCATAAACGAAATCACTTATCAAACAAACCCCGAAATAGAACAAGCCTTCGAGAGGTTGAGAAATTTATTTCCGCACACACCCTCGGAGGAATCCTCAAACGCCAGCTCTAGTTCTAGCGAATCTGAAGAGCCAATCACTATGGCTCAAGAAACAAGAACACTGAGGGAGCTCACGGCTCCAAACCTGAATCAACAACCATCGTGTATTACCTTCCCCATTCTTGATGAGGGTAATACATTTGAGCTCAAATCGGGGCTTATTCATCTTCTTCCTTCCTTCCATGGCTTAAGAGGGGAAGATCCAAATAAGCATCTCTCGGAATTCCATGTTGTTTGCACAAGCATGTGCCCCAACGGAGTCACCGAGGAGCAAATTAAATTGAGGGCTTTTCCATTCTCCCTCAAAGACACTGCAAAGGATTGGTTATTCTATCTTCCCTCGGGAAGTATAGGTACATGGGCGGCCATGAAGAAAGCTTTTCTCGAGAGGTATTACCCCGCCTCCGTCTCCTCATCTCTAAAGAAACAAATTAGCAACGTGGAACAAAATGATGATGAATCGTTCTATGAATATTGGGAACGGTTCAAAAAGCTTTGTGCAAGCTGTCCATACCACGGCTATTCGGAGCAAGACCTCATCCTATACTTTTATGATGGTCTTTGCAATGATGATAGACGAATGATCAACGCCGCATGTGGGGGAGGAATCGTCAACAAAACACCTTCCCAAGCAAGGGACCTCATCTCGGAGTTTGCCGAAAACTCGAGACACTATAGCGGGAGGTCATCAAAAAAACGAGTGATGGCGGCAGAGTCCAACACCTCGTTGGAAAGTCAAGTTGCCGGCTTGACTTCTTTGGTTAAGGATTTCCTATTAAATTCCAAAACCCAAGAAGTCAAGGTCTGTGGCATTTGCACTCAGCAAGGGCACCCAACCGACTCATGCCCAACGCTACAAGAAGACAACCCCGAACAAGTCAACGCTTTGGGGTTCCCAAATCAGAAAAGGTACGACTCCTATGGCAATACTTATCATTAGGGTTATCCCAGTCCCGTCCCAATTAATAATAACGGGACGGGACGGTACGGGACAAGCCTTTGTCCTAGTCTTGTCCCATTTAAATCGGGACCGGGATGGTTCGGAACGGTTCGGGACGGTTCGAGACGTCCCAAACAAAAAATAATCATTTGTAATTAATATATATTAGCATTTCTAAAGTATCATGCACCAAAATATTAACATTTTAAAAGTTAATTGATGTTCATCACAAGCTAAAAGCTACTACGTATTTGATTTTAGTTAGGTTTATCAAAATTTGAAATTTAAATTTAAAACAAAGCAAAAATGAATTAGTTTATTCAAAATCATGTGTTCTAGCTGTGAGATACTCATATGTAGATATACAAAGTGGGATAAAAATCTATGTTAGTAAATATGTATGTTAGGTATTATTTTTAATTTAAAAATTGGGCTTGAAGAACTAAAAACATGTTCCCATTTATTTTTTGAGTTGACATTACACACTAGTCACATGCTACAAAATCTATATAGTTATTACAAACGGGACAACGGGACGGTTCGGGATAACCTTCCAATATCCCGGTCCCGTCCCGTTTTAACCCGGTACGGGACCGGTGCGGGACAAAATCAATGAGACCCAAACGGAACGGGACAACACCGGTACGGTTTCGGGATATACCGGAATGGGACAACGGGACCGGGATTCTTGCCCGCCCCTACTTATCACCCCGGGTTTAGAGATCACCCCAATTTGAGATATGGGAATCCGCAAGGAAACCCACCACAAAATAACCCTCCACAAAACCAATTTCCTCAAAAACAACCGTACTCTAAACCCCAAGGTCAAGGCTCAACTATGTCCACCGAAGACATGATCCGAGCACTCACCTCAAATGTCTCAACCATGCAACAAAACATGGTTCAATTTCAACATGAGACAAAATCAAGCATCCAAAACCTTGAGAATCAAATGAGCCAAATCTCAAGTGCCGTTAGTAGGCTTGAAGACAAGGATTCAACAAAGCTTCCATCTCAAACGGAGCCGAATCCTAGGCAACAAGCCCATGCGGTGACGTTGAGGAGTGGTAAAGAGTTGGTGATTGCCAAGGAGAAAGCCAAAAGCCACATTGGCGAGGAAGAAGAAGAGGAGCTTGTGGATAAAGCTCAACCGGAAGAGGAGGAGAGTCACATACCGACTCCACCACCGATCATTCGTGAAGTGGAAGCACCGTTTCCCGAAGCTCTAAGGGAAACAAAAAGGGTGGAGAAAGACAAGGACATCTATGAGACATTCTCCAAATGTGAGGTAAATATTCCTCTTCTTAACTTAATAAAAGGGGTTCCTAGATTTGCCAAATTTTTCAAAGAGCTATGCACAATAAAAAGGAAGCATAGACTCAATGGTAAACAAAAAGTCCAAGTTAGTGAACGTGTTTCGGCAGTTTTCCAAAAGAAACTCCCAAAGAAATACAATGACCCGGGCATGTTCACTATACCTTGTAAGTTGGGAGGTACTACGTTTTCAAAGGCCATGTTAGACTTGGGGGCATCAATTAATGTTGTAAGGAATAAATGTAATTAGATTTTGATGATGCTATAGGATTAGAAAGTTAGAGTATCCCCAAATTAGATTTTATGTATTAGAATTTTCAATTGTAAGTATTAGTGTAGTCGACGATCAGAGTTGCTCTACTTTGGATCAGATCAGAAGTGCATCAGAACTGCTCGACCAGACTTGCTCTATGAGAACTGCTCCATCAGAGTTCTCTTACCAGAAGTCCATCAGAGTTGCACCATGAGAATTGATGATAAACTTGGACATCTGATAGCCAATGAGATCTACAGATCAGAGGGACTCATCAGCGAACCTATCAGAGTCAGAGTTCATTCAGAGATCTGGATACCATCAGAACTCAACTCATCAGAAAGCCATCAGAATCCAACACATCAGAAGAGTCTGATCAGAGCCCGACGAACAGTTAGAAGATTTCAAGCAACATCCAACAGCTATGAATTCAACGGGTAAAAACATCCAACGGCTACAAGACTGTGCATGGAAGGAAAGCATTTAATGCACATTAAATGAGCCTGATACGCTGAAGGATTGATTGCAAATAATTGACCAAGAATTCCGGGAAGATATATTATAAAAATAGAAACCTTCCAAAACGGCGGTCAAGTCAACAGTACGCGCATTTAATGCAGTTGTCTCCTCCTCCAACGGGCAGACAACCTCAGTATATAAGCTACACACCGAAGATCAGGAAAACAACTTTTTTACAAATCCTGCTCATCATCATTCAAGCTTTCTTGAGATTCAAAGTCTACAAACTTCAAAAAGACAAGCTTAAGTTGGGAAGATTCAAACTCCAAATCTCTCATCCCCAACAAACAGGCAAAGTTCATCCTGTTCTTCAACACTTCAAGAACTTCATCAAACATCATTTGTAACGAAGCAAGTTGGAGGAAAAACTCTGTTTTTCAAAAGGATCTTCTGAAAAGAAGGGCGTCCAAGTAACTGCAGTAGTGAAGTGGTGATACTTCCGGGAAGCTGAGTGAAAGGATCAGCCATCAGGACGTGGAATTGCATCCTGGGTGGCATCTAGGCTTGAAGAAGACGAGGAGTGCTTCTTAAGTGCTAGGAATTAGCTTTGTAACTGATCTACTTCAAAGCTAGTGGAACAGTGGACTAGAGGAACGAGTTGTTCCTTGAACCACTATAAAAATATCCGGTGTCATTTACTTTACTGCAATTTATAATTCTGCACTTAGGACATTAA